AACAATAAAATAGTAACTCTTCAAATATATTCAATAATAATGGAATAGTAAATTCTTCAAGAGTTGTCTTACGAAGATTCCGAATTGAAAACCTTTGGTGCCACCCAGTAGCGATTCTAGAACTCTGAAAGTGTGGGGCCCCACTGTGGGGCCGAGATTTTTCTGCGGAGGAGGTGGGGACAAATTCCAGCAACGTCTTTATTTTCATACTACACCATTATCATATACACAACTTAGGAATGAGTTTTAGTATAAGTATGTTACTTCACTAAATTAAACAGAATAACTTTTCATTCATAGTAATGGAGTTCTAATCTATTCTTGCCCTCTTTTCCACTCTCAAGCTGTTGGACCACAAGAGAGGGGTTAACTTCAAAACAAAATCAAAGGGTTAATACTAATGTCAATACTAGCTGAACAGTGTAATTTGTCTGCTCTGATTTTTTCCTCTACAAAACTTAGAAAAGTGGTGGGGGCAACCAAGGGGCCAGCCAAAATTGGGGGTGGGGGCAATGTCTTACCCCCCGTAAAATCGCCACTGGTGCCACCCCTACCCTGCAATGAGCCATATTTTTAAAGGAAAATATGTCGTTTCTTCAGGCTGTGATCGCAAATGAGGATTAGAAAGGAGAGGGGTGAAAATGATAAAAGTACATTATTTGTCTATCACTCACGCACGAAGCCTGAAGCTGTACTGACAAAAAATCATGACGTAAAATTGAAGATAAAATCATTAAATTAACAGACTATTTTGTTTTTCCTGGCAGTTAAGAAATTTGCGGACAATAGGAATGTTTTGTTGATAGATTCACTTAAAGAACGTGACCAAAACACCATAGATATAATCAAGAATATGAAAAGTTCGCAGCCTGACCAAAAAGACAATAAACATGAGCCATAAAACAGACATGTTATTCCACCTATTCACCCTGCAGCTCAACATTGATTGATTCGTTTTCTACGGCTTATCAACCCTTTTCAGGTTATTTAAAGCCAGAAAAAAATTTTGATTGTAAGATTTTTTTTTATTTTTGAGATTATAATGGTTTAGTGATACACATCTTACTAATTAACCCAAGCTGGGAAGAAAGAGCTGGATTCATACCCCTCCCAAGTTTATTTGTGCGGAAGTGAATATAAAAAACCTCGACGGGAATAGGAACTCGGCTCTCCGATTAATAATTCGGAGTTATTATCCATTATACCACCCACACATCCAAGTGACAGCGCCTGGTATTCTCAAGCGGTCACCCGTCTAGGCTCAAAGTTGCTTAACTTTAGTGATCGTACGCGAACCGGTTTTCAACGTGCAGTTCTACATATTTAGAACATAGGTCTAAGTTTAACATACGTACCCGAAAAAAAATGGCCTGTCAAAAGTGCAGTTTTTCTGATGGCATTACTATTACTATATTCCCTTAGCAATTTTTATTTCTTTTCTTAATCTATTTTTAGAATTTTAATAAAGTCCAAATGTATGAAACTGGATTATACTTTTCTTCACGAGATGTGACAACGAAAATGTTAAACAATATTCTTATAAATAAAGAGTCTAGTAAATCAATAATGCTTAACCTTTTCGCTGTCAATTCGCGAGAAAAGGCAATAAATAATAATTCCAGATGGACTCAACCTATTTTAATGAATTTATGTGGCGAGAACAAATGAAAGAAATGCACAGAAAATACATTTTTTAATTTATAATTACATTTACGCGTCGAATTTTCTTGTTCTTTTGTTCACTGACACTTTTTTTTTAATAAATTCTGACAAAAATAACCTGGCTGCTGATCTCGAAAAGGACCTCCGATCTGTGGTTGACTGGGGCAGGAAATGGTTTGTAAACTTTAATGCCTCCAAAACGAAACTGCTCTCCTTTACCCACCATAGAGAACCTTTCCTACCTCCCATCAGAATGTCTGATTCCCAACTCCTTGAGAGAGCCTCGTTACGCCTGCTTGGTCTCACGCTGTCCACTGACATGATGCGGAATAAATACATTGAATCAACAGCCTCATCTACCGCAAGGAAAGTTGGCTCTCTGTGTCGTGCCAAAAAGTTTTTCTCGTCTGAGTCCATCCTTCAAATCTATAAATCAACCATCTGTCCTTTCATGGAATATTGCTGTCATACATGTTCTAGTGCTTCCGCTGTAAGTCTCGAGGTCCTTAACAAAATCCAGAGACGAATATGCAACATGATAGGTCCTGATCTGGCATCTAGTCTACAGTCGTTATCCCACAGACGTGCTGTGGCATACCCTCTGTCTCTTATACAAATATTTTCACGACAACTGTTCCGACGAGCTACTGTCGCTGGCTCCCAGACTCCATGAATTTAAACGTGCTACCAGGCTGACATATCGGTCTCACCCTTTCACTGTCAAAACGGTTAAATGTAACCGTCTCTTCTTCTCAAACAGCTTCTTTTCCTGCATTTACCGTCTGTGGAACTCTTTTCCCCTTACTTGCTTCCCCGATGACTATAATCTTCAAATATTCAAGTGTAATGACAATCGACATCTGACTCCTTGAGCTTGTTCCCCGTCCTTCTCTGTATCTTTTCCTCAAACACGCCTTTTTACTCTTGTTCTTAATCTTCTGTAACCCCTTGTGTACTAGTGGCACTCCCGCCTTGCTTGGGGTGAATTACCCTTAAAAAAATTTATGAATAAAAACATTGTCTCCATAGTTATGTATTTATAATATGGTAAATGATAAATATTGCTGCATTGTAGTTGGTTCACACACTTTTGTAAACTTGTAAATATAAAATATCATAACCCAGTAGCAGAACACTTTCCAGGGAAGGTACTAGTCGTACCTGATATTCTATCGAGAAGTCCATTATCCGACACTGATGCAAAGATGTGGGTGTATACACTGACTGCGTGGCAAGAACCAGACCAGCATCCGATAAGAAATTAAATGAAATAAAAATATCTACTCAACAGGACACTGGATTACAGGAAATAATACATCTCACACTAAATGGATGGATACACAAAGAAGGAAGAATAAAAGAAGGAATAAGGCTATATTTTCCAAGTTGGAATCAGTTGTCAGTTTATGACAGTTTACTACGGTTTCAGGGCAGAATTGTCTTACCTGAAAATCTTAGACCACTTGATACTAAACAAATGCCGAGAAAATGCCAAAGAATCGGTGTGGTGGCCTAAAATATCACAGGAGTTGGAGGAGTATCTCAAAAAATGCTCGTTTCGCAACATACGCCGTCCAAGAAATAAAAAGGAAAAATTAAAAGTAACACCACTTCCTCAAGGTCCATGGCAAAGAATTGGTACAGACATTTTCATTCTCCAGGGACACCAATATATCGCCACAATAGATCATTTCTCAAGATATATAAAAATAACAAAATTTAATCCAGTGACAAACGATTGCGTTATAGGGAAGTTGAAAAAAATCTTCCCACTTCGTATTGAATTTGTCATTGATAATGGGAAACAATTCTCAGGTTATGTTTTCAAAGATTTTGCAGGCAGTTATAGATTTAAACACGTAATATCAAGCTTACATAACTGATCTAGCAAATGGAGAAGCGGAAAGCGCTATTGAAATAGTTAAGAGAATTTTGGTACAATAAGACACTTTTCAAGCATTAATAGCATAACGGAGTACGCCAATTCAAGCCACAAGAGCCTGTCCCACTGAATTATGGGAAGGGAAGGAAAATAAGAACCACATTACCGTTACATTCAAAAAAGTTATTACCAAAATGGTCTGATTGCATACAAATCAGGGAGAGAGACAAACTGACAAAAACTATAATTGAAAAGAATTTTAACAGATTCCATGGTGCCAAAAATTTATCAACAGTAAAAAGAAGAGATAGAGTTAGAATAAAATCGGATAAACAAAAATATTGGAACACTGAAGGAACGATCAAGTCAGTAGATATTGAAAACAGGTCGTAATATTGTGACAACTAATCAAGGAGGTTTCCGAAGAAATAGGAAATATATTTCATTTTCAAGTTTTGAAAGTAGAGTTTTAAGAAAGAAACCAATTAATGATCATTACAAGGATCTTCAAACAAATAATAATACAAGAAAAGTACTAGAAAAAAGGCGAGGACGAAAAACACAAACTTCAAAATGTTTGAGTTCACAAAGTGAGTGAGTTATTGCCCTTGGACTGTAACCAAAACTTTGATTCGTAATTATTTATTTTGTAATTTGGAAAAGTTGTAAATTAATAAAGAAAATAAACTACCTAATGAGGTGGGGGTATGACAACATCAATAATGATGATTATGATGATGATTGTAAGCACTTCCGGTCCCAGTAGGGAATGCTGTGATCAAGACGGATCCAGCGAGCAGTTTGAATAAAATACGTTGTTTAGTTTCACATCTTGTATCGTCTTTTGTGTTGCTTCGACTTTTCAGTGACCACTCTAAGCCCAGTGAAACATTTCCAAAACATTTAAAAATAATCTAACAATATTTTCTGGCTTTGAATAACAGGTCGAAGATTGATAAGCTGTAAAAAAACAAAACTAATCAATCTGTCAGCAAAATATCTCCTTTACCCGAAAAATAAATAGTGCCCATGACCATTCCTGTTAATTTGGAATTCTTAAATTTATCCTGATGTGCCACCACTTCATAGACTGTTGTGTTGTTTCTTTGGTCTCCGGATAGTTGTGTGTAAACATGTTTCATAGACAGCAACGAGTCGTTTCCAAAAATCCTCGCTCGGTCGCTGAAAACGTTGCAAAATCAAACTAGTGTCCACTTGATATCGTTTCTGGTCGATATTCAAACATTTTAGCACTCACTGAACTGACAGCTTCTGCATAGCCAAATGCATATGAATTATAAATCGAACTCCTTCCCTAGATATCTAGTGTGTCGGCAAAACGACCTAGAGATTCATCGATCAGCCAAAATTAGGCTATGAACATGATCAATATCAGGAATTGATAATAGTGAAAACCTTTCAGACCGTGTTGTATCTTGCGTCTCAAAATATCAAGGCTTTGAAAAACTGGTTTTCGTACGATCACCGAAGCTAAGCAATTCCAGCTTGGTCAGTACTTAGACGGGTGACCACTTGGGAATACCAGGTGCTGTAAGCTTGGATGTGCGGGTAGTGTAATGAATAATGGTGCGAAATTGTTAATCGGAGAGCCGAGTTCCAATTCCATTTGGGTCTGTCGGTGTTAACTCCTCCTTAATTTCCTAATTGTTCACTAGGGCACGTTCTCCCTACACTATAAAAACTGGGCGATTTCTTGCCTTGTTCTCGTTTTCATTTCTTCGTTTTCAGCGAACACATCTACAATGTAAGCTCTCGTAGAAGTTTGCGTCTTCCCATTTGTGGGAGACGCCATGAACATTATAGACACATACACGTACGTACGAACATTCACCAAAATACAAACTCTTTACGTTCACACACAAACACAAATGATAATGTCTATGTCCATTTTAAATTTTGTTGTTTAATACATATACTTGTTTGTATTTATATATCGGTCTTGTTGGTTTTCTTTACACTTCTTCATGGTGGATTCAATCTCTGAGTCCAGCATGTTCTTGTAGTGGACCTTCTTCTAGCAGGAAGAAACAACGTGTTCCTAATTTAACAACACGTAAACCCCCGGTCCGCTATAGGTCCATTATATTCACTTACAAACAAATATCCTTGGGAGAGGTATGAATCGACCTCTTCTCTCCCCAGCTATGGGTTAATTAGTAAAACTTGTATCACTAAATCATTATTATCTCCCCCCCCCACAAAAAAAAATGAAATAATAAAATTAGGTACAAAATGTTTACATTTTGGCATTACATAACTCATAGAGGTTAAACAAAAACAACCAACCAATCAACGCTCGAAGTTGACAACTCACTTCTCCACAGGTCAGTATGACGGGCACTTGTTTCCTAATGTTTACATCCTACATTCATGGATTTCTTTTGAAGTTTTCTTCAGCATTTTCTGTTGGCGTGTGAAACACGCCATTATTCAGAATTTAAAAAGAAAATTTTTGAGTACAGAGGTCCTGAAAATCAACACTTCATAATATAAAAGTACATTCTATTCAGCGAGTGTGATAACCCTCGGATTTTGGGAAGAGGTTAGAGCCGAGAACTTTTCAGCGTCCCTTCATACTACTAATATATTAATGACTAGCAGTAGAGCCCGGCGTTGCCCTGGGATGTAACAGTAAGAGATAAATCAAGTATCGACCATCATAAAGACTGAAAAATAAAATTGACAAAGATTATTGTTTAAGGTTGATGGACACGCATGTCTTATTTAGTTTTTTTTTTTTTTTTTACAAATTGGTCAAACCCAAACTCAAACAAAAACATTGTCTTCAATCGTTATGAGTCTACCGATTGAATAGAATTTTATTATAAACAACTGTCTTGTAAATGGAATTTTTAAAGCATTCTGAATGTAAAAATAAAGAAAAAAGTGTGCAAGACAATAAGAAACACTATCTGCCAAAAAAAAGTGAACTTTTGTTGAAATCGGTTGAAAAATGTAGGAAATTCGGTCCCCATATATAAACGAACACACACACACACAACCTGGGTTTTATAATAAGTATAACTCGATATGAGTTGTCCCCCTTTCATTCTGGCGACAGTGATGCCTCTTAATCGTGTTTTCAAATTGATTTCGTGCAAAAACAATTGTGTTTTTTCCCATTTTTGGCGCTGTCAGAACCACCGCAAGGTAATTTTACGTAGTCCTGTGAAGTTTTGTTGAAATCGGTAGAAAAATGTAGGAAATCCGATCCAATATATAAACGAACAGACACACACACACACACAACCTGGGTTTTATAATAAGTATGATAACTAATGATCACTAATTAGCTAAAAAAACATTGGTAATTAAAAATCTCGTTAATGGTACTCACATTTTCCGCCAGCAGAAAAGCAGGGCTAAAAATGAGAGATCGTGAGCGTTAAGAAAGATGGAACGTTAAAGCAGGAACGATGCTTCAGCTTAACTTCTTATTTACTTAGCTCATATGCTCATGAGGTCAGTTTAAACTAACGCCTTTTCATATGCTGTGACTATTTTGATTAAACTTCGTATTTTCTTTATTTCAGATAAAAACATGGAAATTTTCTAACATATTTCAGTAAAATTTTCACTGTCCAAAATTATAGTTTATAATTATAGCTTATGGAAGAAAAAGATGTCAGTTTATTTCGATGCCAAATGGATGTATTAAAAGAACTAACACAACGAAAAATATTAGATACCATATGTTTTTGAATAAGGATTATTTTTCTTTGAGTTCCAATAGATCGCAACTTAAAACACTTTGAATATATATATATATATATATATATATATATATATATATATAAAGTACAATATATGATATCATAATATATTGTAAAAGGAGTTTGAAAACAGCCGCGCCTAAAAGTGCAAACACTAAAAAAGTGGTCAAAATTGGAAATGTAGAGCAAAAATATTTTCAAAAAAATTAAAATACAATCGACCTTACTACCCGGGTGTCTCCTCAAGCAAGAAGAATAAGCTTTATAGTATTTTAATATTTTTGAATACACACACACACACACACACACACACACACACACACACACACACACACACACACACACACACACATATATATATATATATATATATATATATATATATATTGTCATCCACAGTATCACAACTCATGAATGTGGATAGACATCCGATTGCCTCAAGTCCGGATCGAAATCCGACAGATTAAGCATCAGTTGAAAAGAAGACAAATTTTTGCGTATTTATTCTTCGAATAAACACGCCAATGACCGATAGGGCTTAATTCATGGAAGAGATTTGCAGTATTAGCAATAGTAGTCATTGTTTACAAATTCGCGCTTTCTCCCAATTCATTGTGACCGGGGTTTTCAGCATGCTGGCTTTGTATCACGTCATATAATGTGCTACCTCCCAAAAACTGTAACTAAGGTCCGCTAAGCATAGTTCCAGTATAAAGCACAGGTTGGCTCTGTTGGTGTTGAGCAAACACAAATGTGCCTGAGCAGGCGTCTGCAACAGGGATTGACTATCCGCCCTAGTTGAAAGACATCCTAGGATACGAGTGGTCAGCCACTTTATATATATATATATATATATATATATATATATATATATATATATATATATATATATATATATATATATTATAAATTGATTTATTTAAAATATTTTTTTTCGATACACAGTTCTAACCATGTTTCAAAAATGGAAGCTAAAAGCTACGAATTTAATTTTGTAATTAAATTAAATTCCTAGCTTTTAGCTTCCATTTTTGAAACATGGTTAGAACTGTGTAGCGAAAAAAAAATATTTTAAATAAATCAATTTATAATATTAATGCTCTGTAAATTTACATTGAGCACTATTTTGTAAAAATAAAAATATCTATAAGAACACCGGATTATATATCTTACTGTTCTTTTTTTTTTATTATATATATATATATATATATATATATATATATATATATATATATATATATATATATATAATGTGTAATATATGTAATCGGAAACTTGTTTTACGTAGGATGTTACTTTTAAACATTTTGCGTATATTTGAGTCTTAGCGTTCCCATAGATATAAATATATATATATATATATATATATATATGCCAGAATATATGAACTGAATCTTATCTATCAGTTCCTGATAATGACTGATACAGTCGACACTACTAGAGCAAAAACAGAACAAAAACAAAGCTTTGGACTGTATATACACAATTATGATTCCGATGTGCATCTTATTAAAAATTGTAATAAAAAATGAAATCTACAAACATTCAAGCGTTCTTGATTGAAATTGTTAATGGTAATTAGTGCTGTCTAAATATACCTTATGTATAAATTCAGAAAACTAAAAATATTTTTGTAAAAAGACAATATAAATATAAAAAGATTGTAAAATGACAATATGAATAAAAACAAAATGATTTTTTAGTCAATCAGCCCCCCACCAATCAGCCTTATGCCTGCCCTATATATATATATATATATATATATATATATATATATATATTGGACAATAAAAAAATATTAAGAAAATTAAAATCTTCAGACACACTGAGTTGTAGATTAATATTCTTTCGTTTTTTTTATTATTATTTCATTTAGATTCTTCGACTAGTTTCGGCCAAAATGGCCATCATCGGGAGAAGAAATATTTCTGCTTGCTGGTAGCAGTAAACTACAGAAATGAATGTCTTGATGGAGAAAATGAACTTTTGTCTGTAGTTTTTCATTTGTTTTTTTATCTTTTTAACATGAATCTTTTAACATTCCTTGTGTTGGTCAAACAGTCTCTTTTAAGTTGTTATTTCAGATAAGAGCTGGATAGATACATGTTGCTCTGAATTCTCTGGTCAGTTTGACAGTTTTATTGGTCCTGGAGAGGGGATGTGTCTCTGTTAAGTGTTTGTGTGTGTGTTATTTGGTTCTTAGGGAGTGAGTGAGTATGATATGTGTAAGCGTGTGTATTGCTGTGGGTGGGTGTTATCATTTGGCTCATTAGGGAGTAAGTGAGTATGATGTGTGTAAGTGTGTATATTCGTGTGGGTGTGTGTATAAGTGTGAGGCCTCAACACCTCCGTAACCATGTCTGTCTTGTGTGGGTGAGAAATGTGGGTAGGTTTTGATTTGTAAAGTTATATATTAGTACTATCTATATTGTTAAATTTATGGTTTAGCCCGGCTGGGTAGTGTGTTTTTAGACGTTGTATCCACTTATTTTCATGGAACTCTAAACTCTTTCTAATGTTATCTGCTCTGAACTTTTCTATACTCTCAATTATAGTGAATATGGCATGGGTTTTGAAATCGTGTTTTTCCAGGCGGAAATGTTGTTCTACAGGTAATAATTTTTCATGGGGAGTCGACTTAATTCGATTGCGATAATTATTAATTCTGTAGTGAAAGGGCCATTCAGATTTTCCTACATATTGTTTCTGGCATAGTGTGCATTCTAATAGGTAAATTATGTTATGACTTCTACAGTTAGAATCGTGGTAGATTTTGAAAGTAGATTTAGTGATTGAGCTAGTGAATGAATTCGTGTTTTTAA